GGGGGGGGGATTCCCCAAGGGGCCTTCTGAGGTTTCTTTCTGGCTTAATACTAAGTGCAGAGGAGTTCACGTTCTGCCTTGGTCGTAGCCAGAAGGAGTTTCCTCTTGCTATTTCTCACTGGTTCGTTACAGTGAATGTACAAAATCTGGGGAACCCAAGACCAATCTCTGGGTGGATTTTATGACTAACTGAAGATGGAAAAAGATGGGGAAATCTGCAGTCTCTATTTGATCCATACTGTGCCCTAAATAGGTGCAACCAATAAAGTAGTTAGGAAAACAATTTATCTTACCTCAGATTGCTGGGAGTTGGACAGTATATACATTTAATATATTATTGTTATTGTTACTGTTATTATTTAATTTTTTTAACAGCATAGGTTGATTTACAGTGTGACCATTCAGGTTAGATCCCTCCAGTTTTGTTAGTTCTTTTCATTTTGTCTGCAACTGTTTTTGTCCTTTATGTCCTCTGTTGAAACACTTCCAGTGAAGGAGGGCCCACCCCACCCACCCCATCCTGAGGCAGTCTGTTCAATATTTGATCAGCTGTTACCATTAGGAAATATTTCCTGGAGTCCAACCAAAATCTACTTCCTTGTAATTAAAATGTCCTAATAGCGAGTGCTGCTCAACAGTGGAACAGATTGCCTCGGGATGCGGTGGACTGGGCATCTTTAAACACAGCCTGGATGGCCATCTGTCAGGGATATCTTAGTAATGGCTTCCTGCGCTGAATAGAGGGGTGGACTGGATGTTCTTCAAGGTCTCTTCCAATCCTTACGTTCAATTATTCTAAGGTAGCAGACAGCACTCTTGATGGGCCGTAAAACAGTTCCTTCATAAGTGCCCAAACGTGGCTGCTGCTGGCACCATTGAAGTTATTTTCATTTGTAACAATGGGAATCTGTGATTAAAACAAAAACAGGAACAATCTACTTGAAGGCCTCCAAGACTAACCGGAACAAATTTGAACGAGGAAAAGTCGATGTCTTTACAGTGGAATGTGTGGACCTTGGAGATGTGAAGAAAATAAAGATTGGCCATGATAATACAGGTACGATGGCATAAAAGTACTTGCAGACTTGTAGGTGGACTGATACCATAATATCTGTACCTCTGTCTGTCTCTTTTTGGAAACTAAATATTTCCCTGGATTAAAAAAAAATATCCCTTCCCCAAGCCTAGAGGCTAAACCTGGAAGTTATAGAGTATACTAGTTTACTATTATTCTAGAGCAATTCTCCATGCTTCAGTGGAACTACTTTGGGGTAACAGGTAAGTCTTCTTTGAGTTGAACTTGACTCCTGGTGAATTAATGGACATGCCTGCATAGTTTTCTTGGCAATGATACAAGACTGATTGTCTTTGTTTTGTTCCAAAATGATTGTTCAAGTTCCCAATTTAGCCTACTGACCTCTACTCCCTGGAGGTTTCCCATCCAGATACTTACTAAACCTAATTCTATTTGGTTTCCCAGCCCAGATAAAGTCACCCAAGTGTTGCTATCCAATGAAATGCCACCTTGAAGAGGACTAAGTTTAGTAGGGAAGAGCAAATTAGTTGACTTTTTTTTTTTGTAACTCTTCTTGCAAATCTACCTATAGTTATTTCCATTTCTCATTACTTCCTGTATACATTTGATTCATCCCATAGACATATTAGTTTGAGACTTAAAACAAATCACATTAAAATTTGTATGTATTTTTGTACACCTTTCTCTCAGTATTGCACTTTGGTTTACAATTCTGTCTAACATGCAAAGGAACTTAATATTATTTTCCTAGGTGATTTTTTTTTTACCATTTTTTCATGATCATATTTATACTTATGCAGATCATTCCCTAATATATGTTATTTGGGAAAAGTGGTACATCTCACTGCATAATGCAAAATACTGCAGCTTTTGAAGTATAAATGCATTGGCTTGGAAAAGCAGAATTAAAGAAATGCTCTGTCAAATGCAAATGCGCCATGAGTAGCTGATTATAATTTGTCGTGTGAAAGCAGCAAGCTCTTTCTTTGTAGGTAATTCTGAAGGATGGTTCTTAGAATGGGTAGAAGTGGATGCTCCTTGCCTAGGACTGTGCCTGAAGCTTCCTTGTGGCCGTTGGCTGGATAAATCTGAAGATGATGGAGCAATTGAAAGAGTCCTGTTTCCTGCAGAACTGCAAACAAGGACTTATGTCCCATGTGAGTAGCAGCAGTAGACATCAACCTGCATGACGTCTGATAGAAATCTGAGTGCAACAGAACGTTTCGTGAAGTAGTTCATCTACCATAAACCACGCCTCTACAAGGTTTGTAGAGGAAAGATGGGGAATAGAAACTAGGAAATCTCAACAGCTAGAAAAGCCCTTGGTCGATCATTGTCCATGGTAGTCAACCAGTAAAATCCATCTATTGAATCCATGTCATCCTTTATGAAGCTAACTCAAAGATTGCAAAATTTTGCAAGGTTTGCAGCTCTTCAGAGCAATTCATTGGACAAGATGTTATAAAAAACAGTCTGAAGGGAAGGAAGGGGGGAAAAGGCTGTCTTGAAAAAGTAGTCAGAAAATCCTCATGGTCAGCATTCAGGTGAGTGGTAGAAGAGAGGGAGACATCTGTGATTTTTGGAAATATCCAAAATTGTCCTTATTCCACTGAGATAAGCAAACCCACCCCCCATTCCTGACCACTTAACAATGACTGGTGCTCAAAACCACTTGTGTTCTTAAGCAAAACACACAAGTTCACTTGGCAGCTGGAAAACAGAAGCCAAGAGAATTAGACCATTTGTGTATTAATACATGCGGATAAATTGAGAAGATGTGCTTAAATCTCACTATCAGCCATGAGGCGAAGGCTGATCCATGCACTTCTTTTGAGAGCAAAATAACCTTGGTGACAACAATGGGCAAAGCTGTACTTAAAGGGTGAGCTTTCCTGTAGTGAACACAAAAACAGAATTGTTGCTACTCCCCCATGTTTATTAAAAAGGAAGCCTGGCTTTATAAATGCTTTTGTCAGGTTTTGCACCTGAAGACACTGTATGAATATTTTGACTTTAAACTTGGGTTATATTAGATACTACTACTACTACAATTATATGATTAGATACTACTACTACAAATATATATTAGTTAATAATATAATATTAATAATGATTATTATTTCAAAATTTCTTGCCCCCCAGAAGCATGCCCTTGTCTCATACTTTGCTCTTCCTTTTCTGATGACCTGTAAATACTTATTTTTATTTCAAAAACTATATATGCCAGGGTTTTCAACTAAACAAAAGGAATCAAAACATCCCAACAGCAGTATATTTGATTCATTTTCTTTTCAGTTAGTTTTCATCAGTCTTCTCCAACCTGGTATCTTCCAGATGCTTTGGAACTATAATTTGAAGAATTACAAATAGCATTCTGGTTGTAAATTCTGTGTATTGTAATCCTAACACATCTGGCGGGTACCAGGCTGGGAAAGGCTGAACTATGTTTTAGATTTCACTGTCATTTCACTTGATATTTTCATATACTGATATTATTATTGGATACAAAGCAGACTGAAGTCCTACATGTTATTACTGAGGGGTAAACTCCAATAGGCACAGTGGGACTTGGTTTCAAGTAAATGTATGCAACATGATCTATTAATCTTGTGAATTGCTTCAGGACCTTTTGCTAGAGCAGAAAGCCTGGCACAAATTGACAGATGTTTATACTGCAGCATTTTTTTAAAGTGCAAAGGGCTTGGATCCACCTCACATTTCATGCTTTTCTTCAATTCTTCTGAGCAAACCATTAAAGTTGACAACATTGGTTTGGCAAGAAAGGGTGCTCAACCCAAGTGTTTCTCACATGATTGCTCTACATAAATGAATTCTTTGTGCCTCTAATAATAATCTCATTTTCCCATTGTTACTCTTACAGCTTATTTACTTAGCTTGTAAGAGGAAAAATCAAATGATCTGATAACATTTCAGAAAGCTCAGTTGCTAGTAAGCAGGAAAGGGCTCGTGATGTTATTACATGTCCCAATTAAAATAATTCTATTGGGGATGTGATTGTTTAACTGCTACAGGATGAAGCAGGAAGCTGGCAAAGCAGAGTGAGGATTTTTGCACCTTGGCTGAAATATTAAAATTCTATTCTGCTGTTGAAAAGTAGAGTTGCGCCCTTCCCTTTGTTGTGTAATCAGTGTGATTTGGTTTCTCCTCAAATTGAGTAGCATCTTCCTTTCATCTGCCTACAGAGCACTGAAAGAGACCAGTCTTGAGATGATGGAGATCAGATAGACAGAGTGCTGTCAAGCAGGACTCAGCCAAAGTTGATGTAAGGGGGAGAACCAGCAAACTTGGATTCCTTACCTTGAACCAATATTAGAAAAGCAGGAGGCAGCAGGCAAAATGATCACTTGCTAATTGGAGCTGATCAAATTCCTTTCATATACAGGGATTCATCCAAAAGTTGGCAACATTGTACTCAGCCCTAAGAGGGAAACCACTAGAGATATGCAGAGACACTCTAGGTCCACATTAGATGAAATTACATCCCGAGTGAGGAGCATTCTTGCAGTGCCACTCATCATTTCTTTCCATTTTGGAAAGCTTCCTTTCCTTCCTTCCAAAAGTTGCCAAATTTCCCTTCCCTTCCAAAATGGGTGTTCTATCACTGGGCTGCACCGACTGGCCCAGTGTATGAAGGCCCGTCATATAAGTTGATAAATCTGCAAGCACCACTCTGCTCCCCAGATAATGCACGCTAGTCACTGAACAGCTTGCAAACCATTCATTCTTCAAAGTATGCACACTATTCATGGAGCACATATTGCTGCTTTAAATCTGCCTTTCTGCCAGGCAACCTGTAGATGCATTAGACTACAGCTCTACTCAGCCTTAGTCAGCAGGGCCAGATTGGCTGTTATAAATGTTCCACCCACACAGGTTTGTGCAAAAGCAGTCTTGCAAGTCAGTGTTTTATGCTCCGTAGGAGAAGACAAAGCTTTTGTGATATGTGTATGTCAACTGCTCAGTGAATAGCTGAGCAGAGAGCTGGTGACGCGGCTAGATAATTTTAGATCCTGAAGTTAATGGCCTTATGGAGTGTAGAAAGGTCTTTCTTTGGATGACCAGGGGCATCAGCTGTGAATGAGCACCATTATTAATAAACTATAACAGTGATTTAAAGAAAGTAATAAAGTGAATATTTGTAATTTATGAGTATTAGACCTAGACTCCTATAATCCATAGTAGTAATAGTAGTAGTTGTCATCATCATCATCATCATCATCATCATCATCATCATCCTTCCATACAGGAAGTGAAGTTGGTGATATCCCCATG